GTTAAGACATCAAATCTAGCATGTAAGGTGCAGTAGTAGGCAGGATTAAAAACCACCATGATGGGATAAGGCTTAGGACACCATAATTAAGGTATAACAGACTATGGTACAAATCCTCTGAAAAAGAAACATTCAAGGAACAAGAAGTGGCCAGTTTGGCTTCATGAAAGATTGACTCTAAGAACCAAATTTTTTAAATAGTGAGTCAAGGCTGCAAAAAAATGGTACCTTTTTAATTATAAGGGGAATAAGAACAGCTTCTACAAATATTAAAGAGAATGAAGCTCAATTAGTAAAGGGGGAGGATGAAATTATTGGAAACCTCAATAATGGCTGATACTGAAACGCAACTTAAAAAGGAGCAGTTAACAATACACAAAATATAAAGAAGTTTGAAAAATTAGTAGGGCAGGTCCAGTAAAAATAACTATAAAGAGAAGAAAAGGGAATACTTGGCAAAATCACAGTTGTAAAAATCTGCCTGTCCAGATTATATATGTCCTAGGATAGCAAGGGGAATAGCCAGCGAATTTATTGCACCCTTGGTTGCTTTTGAAAAATCATGAACAACTGATGAGACACTGGAAGACTTCGAGCAAACGCTCTAAAGTAAGGGTAAATGGATACAGAAGTTAGAGGATGTGGGAACAACTAGTAAGGAGACCAGGTTATGATTGTCCATGTCCTGATAACACAAACTTTAATGAGACTAGTTAGTTTCGATAATGATTTATACACATATATCCACATGTTCTGAAACTATATAGCCAAACCATTGTAGCACTTGAGATCACCAGGGTGGGGAGGAGAGGGGGCTCAGAAGGCATTTGAATGAGGGGAGAATGGTGGTCTCGCAGACTAGCTGAGGAAAGGTGTTCCATGTGTAGGGGTGACATGGAATACAGTACAGAGAGTTGTTTGGTGGGGAAGCAGCCATATGACATGTTAAGCAATAAGTAGCATGGTGTGTGTGTTGGGGGAGGGATGTTCTAAAAATTAAACCTTAGCATAAAATTGAATAGTAAAGCATTTGATACTGTCTCTTAAAATATAATTTCAAATGAATTCAGACTGGTTTGGCTAAGAACACTCAGGGGAATGAAAACCTATTTAAAAGGAAAAAAGGTAATGTGAAATGACAAAGGTCAGTATTGAACTGTGTGTTGGGGTACCACAAGGACTAACGTTAGGCCTATTCCTATATAATATCTTCAGTAAGGATTTGGTGAAGGAATTAAACAGCATGCTAATGAAATTCACAGATAATCCCGAACTGGGACAAGTTACAAATATTAATGAGGAGAGTAAAAATATAAGTAGGGCATGAGGGCAGAAAATTTTAGGAGGTTCTGTCCTATCCAGACCAGTGAGGAGCTAGGTGCCTTCAATGCTCTCCTGCTGTGACTCACAGCCTGGACACCAGGACACCGATAGCCATTAGACAAGCGACTACTAAGAGTCTGTGTGCTAAGCAGGCTGCTAGACTCAGGGAGCTCTTGTTACATCCCAGCCATACTGGTATCCACCAGCCTCGGTTACTACTATCCAAGTAACTTCAAAACACACTTCCAGTCCTGAATTTTCCCCAAACCATGTGCCCTGAAATGTCCAATCCTTTCCTGGACCATTCAGAAGCATAATAAGGTTTGTTTGCACCTTTAAAAAGTCAGTACCCAAAAGCTTGCCACATTAACTGGCGTTAACAATCACTTCAATTCATATACAGCATATTCATAAGTTTATTAATAACAGGACATAGGGTAAGTCATGTCAAGTAAAAGAAATAAAGGTAGAGAAGATTACAAGCAAATAAAAGCAAAAAACATGCTTCTAAAAGTCTAAAACAATCTAGCAAAGTACAGCCTTTGTTTAAGATGGTTTCATTCACCAATCACTCTTGGTCCAGCATGGTTGACTGTCTCTCAGTCAGGGTCTTCCACAGATGCACAGGGTGCTGGTTCCCCTTATCTTCATAGGTGAAAGATAACTTGGGTTCTTTGCTCCTTTCTTTTATAGTTCCGTAAACTTTTGAAATGGATTCTTCTGAAAGTTGCCCCCCCCCCCAAAATAAAGTTTATTCAAGTTCAACATGGAGTTTGGTGGTGAAGGAAGTTCCATGCTGGTTTCTTCCTCTGCTGGTATTTGCTAAAATGCAAATTGATCTGTTCCTACCCTCTCTGATGCAAATAAATGGCCACTTGACATGTCATTGCTAATCAACTGTGGTTACATCTGCTGGAAGTGTCAGCTTGTCCTTTGCCTGAGAGGAACCTGTTTACCCTGCCTGACTTGTCTGCTAAACATATTTAGTTTCACACTTCCTTCATATTTGTATGTCCCTTGGGCATTTACCATACATATACCACACAAGACTATTAATGATCAGTATGCTATTAGTTTTCCAATGATACCTTACATGATATGTATCAGATTCAGTTTATGACAATCAATTGGAACAACTGAAACTCGCTAATAGCAGTGATCCCCTGGCCCTCTTGCATGGGGATACATACAGATAGGGTCACAGTTTCCCCTTGGATGAATGCAGCTAATACAGTGGATTGGGGGGGGGGGAGGGGGGAAATGATTCAAAATACATATTTCAATGAGAGGGAAAAACATGGAAAGCAATACTGATGAGGAGATAGGGGAGATAGTGACAGATAATTAGATCTGAGTTTGCAATGTGATATGGTTGCAAAAAAGCCCCAAACAATTTTGGGCCATATACATAATCATCCTGTCATGAAGCAGGGAGGTGACCTTCTTTATACAGGTCTAGTGTCACCGACCATACCTGTTATACTGCATTCAGATCTGGTCACCACATGATCGAATACTCCACAAACTGCAGGGAGTTCAGAGAAGAGCAAGCTTCCTGAGGCACGAAAGAAGGCTGACTCCCACTTGCAACTGGCCAATATTGCCAATCCCCATTGTCCATTTCTTATCTTTTCAAACAAGCATCTTCATGCTTTCTCCCGTTCTGCCCCTCACGCTTGGGAGGAGCTACCTGTAAACACTGCAAAGCTACCACATTATCCCCCTCCAAATCCCTCAAAACTTCCATTTGCCATGCTGGCTACAAAAACACTTGACAATGAATACTCCTGCCTAGCATGCTAACCAATATTGTCTCACTGTTTCCTTGTACTCCTACATCTGTCTGTATCCTTCTGTTGCCTTCTGTTTTATACTTAGATTGTAAACTCTCTGGGCCAAGGCCTATCTTTTTGTTCTGTTTGTACAGCACCTAGCATAATGGGGGTCCTACTACATCACTAAGGCATGGTGGTAATACAAATAATGTGTGAAAAGAATGAGCTAAATTCAGATGGACCTCAATTTCAGGATTTATTTAATACATATCCCTTCCCTATACAATGTTGCTTTTGTTCCTTGTGTTCATCTACAATACTGAAAAGTCATTGAGCATGGTTCAAACTATGAGAGCTTTATTGGGCTGTGGTTTGATCGAGATAGGACGGGGATCACAGAGTAAATGGGAATGTTTAGCAACCAATGTGAGTGTGGAAAGACCTGGAGAATGGGACCAGGATATGAAAGGGAAGGGAAAGAACTAGGAAAAAGTGTATAAAGACAAAGAGAGAGTTTATCACAGCTGTTTTTTCCCCCAGAGATCTTTGTGCTCTTCAGTTACTATGATGCTGGGTTACAGCAGAAAAACATGCTTTGCAGTTAGACGGACACCCCCCCACTGTTAAATACAGAGCTGGCGCTTAGTATCCTGGGTTCTGGGCTGGTGTACTGCTGTCTGATTTGTTACCGAGAAACAAGGCATAGGATGTTCTGGCTTGCAAGGTGCATAGAATGAGGGCAAAGGGTCTCAGTGTGGTGGCGAGGGCTATTTCCAGTGCATCACTGGCAGCAGTGTTTGGAATTTTGTCCTTCACACAAGAACTGTGGGGGTCCCACAGCTGGAAGTTTCCC